GATTTTCTGCAAATACATTGATTGACGCAAACATCTGGTTTAAGCACTTCGACCACATTTGGAGAAACCTGGATCATCACTAATTAAGCACTTCCATTACCATTATTGATAAAACACTTAAAATTCAACAACATTGGGTTTCGCAATGAGCACACACCTCACACATGCATATCTTTATTTTTCATATGTTCCCAGAAGATTCAAAGTACATTATCATGACTAGTTTGACTTGTATCTTTTGGCTAATAGCTTTTAACGGACTGAACTCAGTGAATCAGATCTGCCCATAACGGTTGATGCATCTATTATAACTGGAGTTTACTTGAGGCAGTGAATATGAAGATACTCATATATTGACATCACAACCGTAAACCGCTTTGTATCGCGAAACCCATGCTATAGATGGGCAAGCGGCAGTCGTAATTCCTGTCCACTATCCAGAATAATCCACTTCAGAAAATACCCATATGAATTATAACCAAATCATCCTCATCTAAAAAATGCATGCAATATTTGCTACTGAAAGCAAACAATCAGTTAATTATAAACAAACCTCTTTTTCTTGGTTTCATATGTTTCACTTCTCTGTTTTGAATCTGAACTTTCGAAAAAAATCGTTTGGAAAGTTTGTTCTATTGGAAGAACAATTTGTCCTCCTGTCATTTTGACAAAATAATCATGAATTTACTATCTGAAATATGGAAATATTGGGGAATGTGTAAAGCAGACAATAACCCGACCAAAGAGCAGGTTAGTTTGTTTGGGTTTATTATGTATGTATTAAGTGCTCAATCCTTAGCCAAAACAAAATACAAATTAGTTTAGATTTTCCTCCAAAATATTCGTTGGTTGATATTAGTTTTTTTTATTTTGCTCAATATTTTTACCTCGAGATTATCCTGTTTATGGGAATACAAATGTACCCGAAATTCTGTCATGATTCACAACCTTAGTTGAAAATAAAGAGTTAGGTGTAGACATTTTGAAGGAAAACTAATTATGAAGTCAGAAAACGCCTTAAAATAGAAATCTTGTACTACATATATTAAAATATACTTTTTCACTTTTTTAGTCTTTTGGAAAATGTTGTATGTGCTTTATTTAGACCCCTCTACCAAAATATTTTTTGAATGCCAAGTATAAAAATTGCGCTTTTATCCAACGCAATCATAGGTTTGAACGTTGTTTTGAATTTATACTTGCATGTATGTAAATGAACAGGAATACTATTTCATATTGTTTTTTTTTGCAGGAAAGCTGATGAAATGGAGTCAAATCAATGACTGTACAAAGAAAATGTCAGTGTGCCTAAAAGTAACAGTTTTCTCTAAAAACATCACCTTCACTGATATTATTTTTTTTTTAATTCAATAATGATCATAGTTGATATACGTTTTCACCATTTTAAAGATCTTTTACAACAACCATAAAAGCCCAGTTTCTCGTATCAAACATAAGCTAAAAGAAATCGCCAAGGAATTTGTTTTTATCCCGGCTGATAAGGCTGCTAACAATATCATTATTGTTTGACGTAAATTTTACATTAAGATTCTACAAATGGAAATCATGAATTCATCAACATTCCAACTTACTTTATTTTCGGAAAATGACATCTGTAACAAACATAAACTTTTAGCTACATCTTTACAAGCCGAACCAAATACAATAATAGTTCCAACTATATACTGGCTTCCGAAGCTGCACAAAACTCCTTACAAATATAGATTTATTTCGTCTTCAAGCCATTGTTTCACTACTTAACTATCTATGCTGCTTACTTGTACACTTAGTGGAATTAATTACTTTTGGAGTGTCAAAAATTCGTTGGAAGTACTTGATAAATTGCATTCTTATATTGGTGATTTTTCTACCCTATATACCACTTTGCCTCATCATCTTATTAAGAAAAAAAAAATACACAGCTGTTCAAATTGGGCATTTAAAAAGTCGGTATGCGGATATATATGTTCAAACTCTTTCATATCATTTTTTAGTAACAGCAAAAAAAAAAAAAAGAACTATGTCAATTGTACCTGCTTTGATACTACAACTGCCCTTGACTTTTTACTACATAACAATTTTGTTCGCTATGGAGATTCCGTATATTGTAAGGTTAATGGAATTCCCATGGGGACTAACTGTGCACCACTTATTGTGGACATGTTTCTGTATTGTTATGAGTTACAATTTATGATTAAAATCAGCAAAGACCCATTGAAACAACATCTGATTCAAAAATTTAATAACACTTTTAGATATTTAGATGATATATTAGCTCTCAATAATGACGACCTCCGTATGTACACTATAATGATTTATCCTGCCGAACTGACTTTAAATAAAGCTAATACTAACCATGAACACTGCCCTTTCCTGGAACTTGATATCTTTAACGGGAAGCTTAATACCAAAACTTATGATAAAAGAGATGATTTTTTATTTCCTTTTGTTAATTATCCATTTTTAGATGGTGACGTTGTCATCATCTTAGGGTGTTTATATATCTCAACTTGTTGTATTTGCCCGTGCATGTAACAACGTACTTCATTTCAACGAAAGAAATCTCTGTATTACTGAAAAATATTACACCAGGGTTTTTGATATCACAAACTAGTCAAAATATTTTCTAAATTTTATCATCGGTACAAGGACATCATTCGTAAATATAAATTAACATGCAGACGTGTTATACGTTCAGGCTTTTCGCATCCAATACTAGTATGTTATGGTAATATTCTTTACAAATAACAAACAAATGTCGGCATTCACCCCATAAGCTAAGCAAACCTTTAAACAGACTTTTTCGGAAAGGATATAATTGCGATACTTTTGTCAGGTCATTAAGAAAGCATATTTTGGTAACACTTTTGATTCACTCATAAGGTCTTTGCATCGGAAATAAACACATTTATTCTAAAACCAGTTGCATGATACAGATTAAGTTTTTCTCATATATTTTATGATGGTATGATACTAAACCCCTAACGAGAGGGATTGTACTTGATTTTCATATGATGAAAACATTATCTTTCAATCAGTTCAATTGAGGTCTGAAGCTGGCATGTCAGTAACTGCTAGTAGTCCTTTGTTAATTTATGTATCATTGTAATTTGCTTAGTTTTTTTTATTACCTAATTCTGACATCGGACTCGGACTTATTTTACTGTGCGTATTGCTATGTGTTTCTTTATTTTACACATTGGCTAGAAATATAAGGGGAGGGTTCAGATCTCACAAAACATGTGTAACCCCGCCGCATTTTTGCGCCTGTCCCAAGTCAGGAGCCTCTGGCTTTTGTTAGCTATTGACTTGTATGTTTTTCAATTTTAGTTCATTTATATGGTTTGGAGTTAAGTGTGACGTCCAATTCCACTGAACTAGTACACACATTTTTTAGAGGTAAGCTGCGGACCACCTCCGTGTGCTGGATTTTCTCGCTGCGTTGAAAACCATTTGGTTGCCTCGGCTGTTGTCTGCTCTTTGGTCGGGTTGTTGTCTCTTTGACATAAACCCCATTTCAATTCTCAATTTTATTAATAGTAGTATTGGAGAATAAACTTCAATGGGTCATGTACTTGAAATTTGATTAAGAGCATAGTCAATAAAAATAACAAATTTGGAGGAGATCTTAAAGTAAATTTAAATAGCAATACATCAAGGTAATATGTCAGGGTAATAAATTTATACAATTATTATACCATAAGATCAGAAACATCATACCAATATTTGAAGAATAGCTTATAAATGTGCAAAAAGCTTGTTATGTTGTTAGTAAATACATGTTTTTTTTTGTGAAAAAAAGGGGGTGGTATACCTTCTTACAACATATTCTTAAATAATCTGATAATGCCCGAAAGTTTTTTTTTTCATAGATGTATAGACAAAAGTTAGCTGTTAGTTAGCTTAACATTATTTATGGTCTACATTTCTGCAAAAAATGTTTTGAGGGTCCAAACTTAAATTTAACATAATCTTTAAGACTAAACTTTGCGCCATGCATACTCAAATAAGATATCACATATTGCAAAGTATCTTAATGTTTGTTTTTAATAGCATATGATGTTATTCTTCAATGATATTTTGTATTTAACCTTGATTGCATTACAACCTGCTGAGTTCAACCATATTTAGAATGTCAGTTTCGAGTTTATTATTTGTCATGGTTGCTAGTGAAAGCCTTGTCTATTGCAACAATAAAGAATTTACAAAAGCATCAACATTTCTTATTTATTTCTATTTGTAACTCAACTAGATTGTACAAAAAACAAACTTTTACCAGTCATATTATTTCAAGTGGCCAGCTGTTGGTTGATACTCATAGAAAATTGATGTTAATAAAATACAAACAGTCATGCGGTGACCTATAATTGTTAAGTTCTGTGTCATTTGGTCTCTTGTCTCATTGGCAATCATAGCCCATCTTCTTATTTACATGGCAGTGGTTAGGCTCCTTACTCAAACAGGGATTAAATAACTAAGATGCCAACAATTCTCGTTTCATTACCTGTGATTTTAACCAGTGGAATATCAAACGATATACATATAGAGCGTAGGTAAAAAGCAGAACAAGAAAAATAATAACAATTCAACACTATAGTTTATGATAATTGGTGATGTGCCATCAACAGAATGTTAAATTTCATTTTTAGTAATCGACAATCAATAGATATGCATATAAAACTTTTTTTCATCCCCTTGAGAAGCGCGGTATAGGCCAGACAAGTTCAATATTTAAAATATTCTCAAGAAAATAAATCTTGCAACGTCCTTAAATGCTGCTTTTTTCGTTAACTATGTGTGCATGCAATGTAAAACACATTCGTTGGCACATCAAAATTTTCATTATTTTGTAAGAAACAGTGACATTTTAGCTTGTCAACATTATATTAATCTTACATTAAAGTTATCTTACAATTCTTTTTTTTTTATTATTGATTACTTGTACATTTAAATGATCTAAGATTTGGAATAATGAATAAATCGGACTAATGAGTACTTACAAACAGGCACCTGGGCGCTAGTCAGTTCTTTTGAGGTAGTAAACTGATCGGTGGTCAGTCCTTGCGACGAAGGAGGTATATAATCATTGCCTTTACTTGGTTTCTCGTGTGCTTGGCTTTGAACTGTTATGCATTCTCCATATATACAAATAAATAAGTCCTATTATAATGTTTTATTTTCAACATATACAACGTCCTGTATATTAAAAAGAATAGCACAAAATATTCATGTTTTTTTTATTGTTAACGTAATATTTCTAGCAGCCGAAAACGAAACTTATTTAATAAAGATCCGTATTAAAACCTACCTGTGGTTTGGATTTCTATGCTGTCACTAGGTTCGCTTTTATGATCATTCATTGTGTATGTAGAAATTTCAAATCTGTATTTCGTTAATGGCTTACAGTTAATTAATTCATATTCGTAACAATCACTTCTTACTGAATCGTATGATATATTTTCATTTTCAACAATCTTAATTTCAAAATATTCCACAAATTTCAATACAGGCCTAAGAGGTTTCGTCCAGGATATTTCTATGGTTGATCCTTTAATCGTGGCCTTTACATTTACAGGTGGTGTAGGACCTAAAAAAACAACGTTGACCATAAGAGTTTTGACAATATTCGATCAAAACGTATGATATTGATGTTTTTTTTTCTTTTAGAATACAATTTTATTTCTACAATTAGATGATGACATATGTTTTCAGAAAAGCTTAAACAAATATTTAAAAAAAAAATCTTGGTTCTTTTGTCGATTTTGGAGTTCAGCTTGGCGTCCAATTCGCTGAACAGGTATACACTATTGTTAAAGAACTAGCCGAAGCACACTTCTGTGTACGGGATTTTATCACTGAGTTCCAGACCTGTTGTTGGCTTTGGGCTGTGTATTGCCCTTTGGTCGGGTTGTTGTCTCTATGACACGTTCCCAGTTTCCATTCTCGCAATCCTTGTAAATTGAATTATGATTTTTTAACTAAGAGTATTTTTCATTTGTACATAAAAAGTTCACTGGTTCATGTGATCTTGGGATAATAAACATGTTCGTCAAAACTTTAAATTCATTTTTGGATAAAGTTCAACTTGAACATGTTGAAAGTCTATTGAAGTATAATCATAATCAAGTGTACAACATATCATGATATTTCTGTTTAATCTGATCATTTTGCAAAGTTGTAGGTCCTTTTTATAACAAATAATGATACAATTTCAGTTATCATCAATGATTGTTATGTAATACGAGATTTTAATACGTTGACTATACATACAATCTTGTAAATGTTGCTGATATCCAATACAACTGAATAGGACGTAATACAGTCAGAAAAAAGCCAAAATACGGATTTCACTTCGAAGATTAAACGAAAATAGCTCACAGGACGCCCGCTATTTCTACAGAATAAGTTTCATATAACATACCTTTAACGTAAGTCCTAACTATCTCACTTGGTAAGCTTCTGATTGAGTGACATATACATGTAAAAATCGTGAAGTTAAGTGAAGTATTTGGTAAAACATCAGAGATTGTGTAAGACAGCTGATTCGAAGGGACGTCTTCGTCAGACTCCTCGAATGTCAATTTATTTTTGTCCACCTTCTGAACGTGTATGCTAAAGTGATCGGTTTTAAACAATGTCGTCAAAGGTTCATTCCAGGAGACGGTAACAACGTTGTCATCATTTGATGCGTGTACAGATTGCGGTGGTGCTGGATCTACAAAAAGGCATATTCCATAAAACAAGTCTGTATCCGAATCGATTCTTTTAATTGATATTTAGAAAAAAAAAATTAAGTGAATTAAAAGACTAAAATAAGATTAAACCTTTGCTTAGTGGATTTAGGATATATTTTAAATGGTTTATAATGGGCAATTATCGTCAAGGTACGGGTTTTAATTAACATGATTTTATGAAATGCTTATATAATCGAACTGGCTTTTTCTCGCTCGTTTGTTTCGAATTCTTTCATAAGGACTAAAGAAAAGATTTGTCGACAATGGTGATTCATATTCCATCTTTTTTTATCTAGCTGGCACCCCTAGATACCAATTATTAACAATTGATTTTTCTGTTAAAGCACTGAAAAGTATAACAGCTAGATGGACTCAGCTGAATTGTCATTTACCTAATCTTCTTATTAAGATTCTACTGTTTTTAATAATTGATATAGTTTATTTGTCTAAAGAATGGGCATATGACAGTTTTACATTTTGTCCTTTTAAAACCGTTTCATGCTCTTTTTTCAATAATATTTAGAAAAAATATATCATTGTATACATTTTAATTTAATTACCGACTACCACAACACAATAGGACAAAACATGTTATGAGTTTTACTTTTGTCTATACAGTAAAAGATTTAAAAACATATACAAATGTTAATTGGAAGTTTAATATTTTTACTTACTGTTAAGTCCTTGTAATGAGAAGTCCTCAAGAACAAATTTTCTATTTCCGATTCTTATACTTTTAAAAGTACTTTTTAATATTTTAGTAAAATATTGCTCTTCGTAGAATCCTTCAGATATAAATGTGAGATCCACAAGCAAAGAGCCATCACTGAAAGAAAATGAACGCAAAACTACAAGTTATTGATGAATTACATTGATTTCACGAAATATGTTAATAATTTAATTAAACATTTGTTTTATTTTCTTATTCGACCACACAGCGTTCACACCTCACAATTCTACACAAGTCTAATTTAAAACTCGCATATTCAAACGAAGAACTACCCGCATTTCCAACTTTGCCATTCTACATTCCAAATATCACTTAGACAAATGTAAAATAAAAATTGCAAGTTAGCTTTTATAATAAGGTTATTGGTGATACTATGGTTCGAGATGCGGCATGGATTAAGGTATTTTTATATTTTTCTTTATATGGTAATTTTGCTTATATTAGACACCCTAAATACAGTCAAAAAATATGCACAAAAAGCACAACAAACTACACGTGTCAATTTGCAATGGAAGCAAGCGAGTTCCTAAAAGGGTTACAGATCAAAAATTTACACTGCATTATTTTTTTTCATATTTGTTTATATAGCAACGTTCAAATAAAGCCCTGTGTATAGAGAACGAAAGGCTGTAGAAAAGAACAAGCATTAAATTGAATACATCATTAAGCAAAAATAACTATACACTACAAACCGTATTCTGCTATATATGATCCTCTGATTCCCTGGTATATTATTGCATCCATCACTAAAAATTTTCTCGATAATTTTACCGACTTTTCCAGTTACTTCTTTTCCATGCTCTCTTTCAGTAATGCTTAAAACCATTTCAACGATATATGCATCTGAATTTCAAATATCATACATGCATCTGTTATTAAATACAAACCATGCAAACCGTACGATACATGTTTATTCATTTTGTGGCTAGAGATCAATAGTGAACATTTGTAAATATTAATAAAAACCCACAACATATGTTTCTGTATCTTTCAACTATGCAGAATAATGTAGTAGGATGAAACTCCCTCCCAACCACCACCACACAAACATATATACAAATGTTCAGGTAACACATCAGACACAACTATTGCAGTAGGAAAGAGACTTATATTGAATGCACTGTAACAGATCCTTTGAATTTTCAAATATCCACATCTGAATCTCGCCGCTCCTGGAGTATAATGTGTCACAATATGCAAATAATTGCTGATGTAATTGATGCTAATGATTTAGAAAGATTACTTACGTTCTGCTGAAAATATACGTTCCACAGGCTCGCTTAGCACTTTGTTACTAGAAGCGTAAATTTTAAAATGATACACTGTATGCTGCAAGTCTTGAACAGTAACACTTAACGTGTCTGATGAGAGGTGGTGCGTTTTACAATCGTCCTCTGTTTTTTGTTCTAATGTGTATCCTTCTACTGGGAACACAGTTTCAGGTGGACTTGCCCATACCAATACAACAGTTCCATTAGCAACATGTGACTTAAAATCCTGCGGCTTTAATGTGACTGCAAACAAATATAAAAGACAAAAAATCCAGCTTTGGAACAAATGTCACCGATTGTTCTAAGGAGTGCATCAACAGTGATCACTTCCCTCTGAACTCTGAGGTAATGTGGATTCATTTATTTTCGTGGGTATCAATTTTCGTGGATTGCTGAAAACATGTATTTTCGTGGATAATTGATTTCGTGATTTTGCCAATCTCTGTAGTTTTAAACATATTTATTTACAGTGGATTGGGAAACACGTTATTGTAACTTATATTAATCCCTTTCCACTTTGCGGGTGCGAGTATTGCCTTGTAGCGGCATTAGCCTGCTCTTTTTCGAAATCTACAAGGGTGTCTCTTACTTGCAAGAGATATGTCGCTTGCTTAACACGGGTTAACCATTTATCGTCCCCTTCCGACGGACTATCATCGTTTTCTCAAGACCATACTCGCAAATGGTGTCAAGGGAGAGCCGAATATTTAGTCCCTGACATTTTCACCCGGACCGGGGATCGAACCAGGAACCTTTGTGTTAGTAGTCCGATACACTTACCACTACCCCACGGCTCTTTTAATATGTATTCATCTACTGGGAACACAAACAATCTCTGTATACAAAGTTTTCTGAAAATATGCTATTCGTTGAACATTTGAATTCGTGGTTCACCTATACCCAAGAAACCCACGAAAATCGGTATCCAACGAATAATAATGAATCCACAGTATGAATTTCGCACTGTACTCGTAGGAGGCGCTTTCAACTGCGATCTGCATTGAGTAGGATTGCTTGCAGTTTTTTTCAAAATAACAAAGATACCGAACCCCGAGTTAAACTCAAAACGGAAATTTTCTAATCAAATGGCAAAATCAAAGCTCAAACACACCAAGCGAATATATAACAACTGTCATATTCCTGACTTGTTGCAGGCCTTTTTAAATGTAGACAATGGTTAAGAAATCTGGTTTCATATCTAGCTTAACCTTTAACTTGTATGAAAATCGCACAAAACTCCATAATATTGACAACAATGTGTGAACAAATCAAATTGGTATAAAAGATAAAAATGTTAAAACTGTGGGAACAGGAGTCAACATTGTGTTTAAATCTTAATCACTTTGAAAACAAATGAATATCATGAATATGTCAACAAAGCAAAAAACAAACCCAAAAAAATAAATATATAGATATACTGCAAATTCAGAAATTTTTGTATTTCAGCAAAATCTTCATACAGATATATGTACCATACATCCGAATGTGAGTTCTTTTTTTTGCGATAGACGTACAGTCCATGTATTCACTTTAATGAAAACCGTGGTTTTTCTGTTTGAATAGCTTTACACTAGTCGTTTTGGGGCTCTTTATAGCTTGCTTTTTTGTATGATTCAAGTCTGCATGACCGTACTTTCACATATAACTGTTTAATTCTTGTATATGTGACTTGGATGGAAATGTATTATTGGCACTCATACTACATCTATTTATTTATACTCACAACAGTTGAGGAATTTACATTATTTCTTTATCAATTGTTGATGTTCACATGTCCGTCAAATCACTTTTATTATTTTCGAATTTTTAAAAAAAAAAATAATCAGTAAGCAAAAACGAAATACACAAATCCAAAGTGTATGTGTTTTTCATTTTTCATAATTATCCTACATTGATATATATCAAAGTAAAGAGTGGACGTATAATTGTCAATTACCATATATAAGAGACCAAATAACGTCGATATATGCAAATATAGGTTAGCATTACCTTTCAGCAATGATAAAAAAAAATACAAATCGTTTAGCCCACGAACGGCAATGACTATTGAAAATGAAACTTTATCAATGTATTGTAGCCAAATTCACATTTTAAGATTGATCTTCATCAGAATGGTCAAATGGGAATGCTACAACCGTCTGATTTAGTGGACGACCATTTCATATCCTGAAAAGGATGGTTTTGTTTTGTAACGGAATGCAAAGTAACATAACTGTTTCATCTATAGACGTCATACAGGTAGAGATGAAGTATACAAACTCTTTAAAGTAATACATAGATATTGTCAAAGCAGAATAGTAATAGGTTCAAAACAGCAAAGGAAGGAGATTGGGAATCAATGAACGAAACACAATCGATACTTCACAATGCAAGATAAAGACATAAGATCATAAAAAGTGATGGATATGCTGTTCACCATACCATTGAAAGTCCAAATTGGAAATATACATTTTAGATGGAATTTACTCACTTCAAGTTGAGAACTACCTTTGACATTGGTTTGAACGTTTTTCTAAACTTTTCTTTTCTAATCTTATATCGCTACAATTACATATCGATTAATACTACTGCAAATATTGCGCTACAATTTCATTTAATAAAAAAAAACAATGCAAAGTTTCAGGCATCCATGGGGTACCTAAATTGTTCTCTGAGGAAAAAAACATAGATACGTATTTAAATTATTATAACAATTTGCAATAAAGCTACGGTGCATGCGACACAAAAATTAGGCAGTACGAAAGCTCATTTGGGACCTTTCAGACATCTTTTTTGATTTTAAAAAATTTTGGTTACAAATAAAGTAGTGAATTATATGATTTGTTTTTAAATACTATAATTAGCTGTGACGATGTTTGAATTAAAAAAAAAGAGAACCTTTTACATATATTAGTTGTTCCTAATAGCAGATTTAAATCGATGTTCCTGTTTTTAATAATTAGTGAACTGATTTCATCATCTCTGATAACTGTTTTAATTCATATTGACAAACTAGATAAATAGAACAGCTGATTGTAAAATTTGTTTTTCACTATTTTAATAAGTGAAAAACAAAACAAAACAACGTCGTTATAACGAATATAACAATCTGTGATAACGCAAAATGATACCCGATTACGAAAAGAAACATATGAACACTGATTCTTCAAGATTCTTGAAATCACAAATTTAATCCTTTATAACGAATTACAAAATAACTTATTACGATTTTAAACAGTGATAATTTCTTTTAATGCGTAATCTCAAATTTATATCTATTTACATATCTTTTGGGAACAATTCGCTTCCATACTGGAAGAATCGTAGCTGATAGATATATTTTGGTATATGATGGGGTATCTGCATCCATATTATGACATTCAATACTGTTTGAAACTGAGAATTAAACCGGGGCTATAAAACTCAAGCTTTCAACAATTATAGTTATAGTAATAGTTGATTTGCACTTATTTTGTGACTGGGAAACGGACTTAATCATTGAATTTACTGGAGACGCGTTAATGAAATCCGACGATGATGTAGAAACAGAAATTTCCCCCCCGGATCCAACCCGGTTCAGATATGAACCATTCTGATATTTTGGATTTATTGACAACGTTGCGCAAATTTTCTATTTCTAAGGATAGTCGTTACTTAGATAAAACGGAGCAATTGAATTCAATGACCGAGGACGTTTTTAATTGTGAAAAGCAAACACGCCTCCGGATGCGGGATTTTCTCGCTGTACTGAAGACCCCTTGGCGGCCTTCGGCTGTTTTATACTCTTTGGTCGGGTTGTTGTCTCTTTGAAACATACACCATTTCCATTTTCAACTTTATCTATACGTCAGGCAACATTGGAATATTTTTTCTCTTTACAATGAGATCGATGAAATGTTTGATTATCAAAAATTGTAATAACATTTTTCTGCATTTTTTTCATATATTTTAATTCATTTTATTTTTTATTAAAACTAACACGAAAATACTTGTCATATGTTGTATTACTTGGTGTCCGTCGTTAGTGTCAAAATTATTTTCCCTTTAAGAATCGTGTTCAAATTTCATTGCATTGATCTAAATTAGAATTAATTCTCAAACTGGTCTGATACAAAAACAACTTTAGATCATTATAGGCATTTCAGAGTGAAGTGTTCATATTTTTTCTCTTAAATATTACCAAAACAGTTTATAGCACGAATCAAAAGTTTTTGAAGAAAAACTCAATGATTACATTGGACAAAAAGTTGTAAGGGAAAGTCCTTGTATTAAATTTCTCAGCATTATTGTTCATTTCTTTATGAAAATGAAAAATGTTTAAGTCGTTATCATTTAGATGCATATTCCAGTACGTTGTTCCTATGACCACTGAACGTTTGGTATAGAAAAAAAAAATCTTTGTTTGTTTTTCTTTCAAAGAAAACTACAAAAAACTACAAAAAAAACTACAAAAAAAAAAAACAACAAAAACAAATCTAAGTTTTAAAGATAAACAATATCCTTGATCATACATGTGAAAAATTGAAAACAATGTTTTTAGTAAAATCAGGCCATAAGTCTGTTATTTTGCAAAATCTAGCTAATGAACTCTTCAGGGTGTTTTGAATCTATGTATACTTCATGAAATGCAAATTACTCATTTTGGCCTGACACCTACATACATTGTAATTGATATATAAAGATGTGGTATGAGTGCCAATGAGACAACTTCCCATCCAAGTCACAATTGTACTTGTTTAGCTTTATAACTATTTTGATATGAGCGTCACTGATGAGTCTTATTTAGACGAAACGCGCGTCTGGCGTATTTAATTATAAGCCTGGTACCTTTGATAACTAATTATAAAAGTAAACCATGATAGGTCAAAGTACGATCTTCAACAGAGAGCCTTGGCTCACACCGAACTGCAAGCTATAAAGGGCCCTAAAAATGACTAGTGTAAAACCATTCAAACGGGAAACCAACGGTATAATTTATGTAAAAAAATGAGAAACGAGAAACACTTATGAACCACATCAACAAACTACTGAACATCGGATTCCTGACTTAGGACATGTGCAAACAATTGAAGTGGATTTAAACGTTTTAATGGAACGAAACCTTCACACTTATCTGAAACAATAATGTAACATCAAAGCATATAAAGACACACTATAAAATGTCAATTGAAATGGCTTAACTCAAAAAGCCTGAAAATCTTATGACTGGTCACATATGCTTAAAGGGTTAAAGAGAAGCGAAAGATTTAAATTAAAGCTCAACCGAAAATATTGAAGACCTCTCCTACACATAAAAAAAAAGAAAGCACAAAACCGGTTTTATTGAACAATAATCATTAATATCGTATCAAGTAATTTAAACAAGCCATAGTACTTGATTTGGTGACTATAATACAATATAAAATGTTTCTATTTAACATTTGAGCTATATTTCATTGTATATTTGCTATTGAAAACTAGAACTGTATATTCTTTTTGTTATAGTCTCAAAATTTTGTTACATCATTAGAACAAAAACTTGATATTTTTTCCATCAGTCAAAAGTCTTGATCTACAACATATTGAAACAGTATTGTTGTTAAACAAATTGTTTCATAACGCATTTATTTCTTCACATGAGTAAAAGGAAATGCAACCTTTATGTGTGTGTAAACATCATTGACCCTTTTATGTATCCACAGTTTACCTTATGATTGGTTTCTGCTATTCTATTTGGTTTGTTTGGTTTTAATCTTCTTGGTGAATTATCTAACTATCTGCATCTTCGATTGTTTATATGATTAACTAATTTTACATTTAATGTATATAGAAATGAAATATACTTTAGAAACTTACTTCCTGTTTCAAATTTTGCTTCTTTACTTTTTTTGCTTTCCCTTGATTCATCTAAGCAAGCTGATATCTTAAATCTGTAAGTGTTACATGGTACAAACTTTATCATATCTTTTGTTAGGTAGAAACATAAGTTGTCAGCACCCTCAACTGGAAATGTTTTTTCTTCACACGTTGATTTAGATTTACAATAAATTCGGTATCCTTTTATATCTTCTGACATTTCAGGCTTTGACCATGTTAGCTTCAAACGTCGACCCTCTTTTATAACTTCTAAATTGTATGCTGAAGCTGCAAATATATGTATGTTAAGCTAAATTGTGAATACAAAACAACTAAGCTCGACTCAATTCCAACTTATGATATTACTATGTTATTACTTATGTTCAGCATGATCATTTTCGTATACTTATAAAGAACCTAAAATACACACACACACACAACTAGGAAATTAAGTATACAATTAAATGTTTACAGCACCTCAGATCATCTGTGTTTTTAGTCTCATAAGTTTTTTTTTATTTAAAGTGTAGATTTATATGTTTTTTAATTTTTTTTTACAAATCAATAAAAGAACAAAGGCGTTAACAACCGCCTATTATACATGTTATATTTGTACGTTTCCAGAGGATATTACGCATCAGTTATAAGACTATCACTGTTAACAACATCTAGCTATGATAGTTTTACTTACGTATATCAGTGTAAAAAGACGATGTCTGCATTATAACCATCAGCAGTGAAGTCAAAATACCTTAAACAAATATACCCAATATCAAGGAGTATCAAGAAATTCGTTTTATGCGTTACATCAAATTACTATAAAGATGATTCAAGCGAAATATTTCTTTTGTTTTATATTAAATAAAAATCAGCTGAATAAAAAAGAAACACAATTTTTTTCCATTTCAAACCTTATCAGACATCTATATTACATGTATAAAGATTAGAAGACGTGGTTTTATTACTAATGAGACAACTTTCAACCAAATACCGACAGACGTAGACATGAATAAATATCAGTTACTATACGGTCTGTTAAAATAATAACCAAAACATCGTACGTAAGCTATAATAGTTTCAACACATTAAACAATTCAAAACAGAAAACCAACTGATTTATATTAGAAAAACAAAACTTACGATATACTCATGCAGTTAAAAAAAAGTAGCGAAGTGAAACATTGTTGTGGGCGCTAAAATCTCTTCTAACCTTTGACAGTAATATAAAAGCAACACATAAGAACAAACTGTAAAAATCAGGTGACCTTGTCAGACCGATATACAGCACAAAATAATCAACTAACAACAAGAATTTAGACAAACAGTTCCGATCTTAGAGTACGCACAGTAACTGAAATCTCATTAAGGCAAAATACAGGTAAGAACATAAATAAATGCATCATGTTTTTAACATTAATCTATTCATATACACCTACAATGGATTTAACATAAGGTATCAGAAATAGTCTAAGAAAGTCACACATTTCACTGCATTCCAATAAAAGTCTGAAATGGTCTATATCTGTACTCGACTGTACTGATTTTCACTCGACCAGTCTGAATTGGTCTGAAATGTACTTGATTATACTCGACTGTAGTCTGAACCATACTTAACAGTCTGAACTTGTTATCTACCTTTACTCAAACAGTACTTTACCATTTTATTTGCGTCTGAACCATGCTCGACCTAGTGTGAACTATGCTCGACCTAGTGTGAACCATACTCAACCTAGTATGAACCATACTCAACTTAGTATGAACCATACTAGACTTATTCTGATTCATACTCGTACTATTATTAACTAAATTTGACCTATTTTTTTTTGTATCTATCTATTGCATTTCATCAATTTAGGAACTGTTTGGACAACTATTTCCCCAGGATAGAAAATTTAACAACAATTTGAAATTAAAAATGTATTCAATATGGCATTGAAGCCAAATTTTCACAATGAACATAATATAACTTCAACACCATATTCATCGATACTTACATACTTATATATATCACCTTTAAAATAAAAATAAAACAAGTTGAACAAAGAATCTCAAAACTGAATTGTGACTTGTATTTTCAATGTTATTCAAAAATTGTTGAATGTTTCAGATATATCTTATGGTCACTGCACAATTTTCACCATTTACTTAAGCCTTGTATAAATTAATGGTTTTAGTTGAGTTTAGTTAATAATGCAGTGAACATTTTTTTATATTAAAATATATATAAAATAGTATATAAAGCAACTTAATAACTTTAACATTACACCTCTGTTTTTGTAAAACCAAGAATTTAAATTTATCATATTAATAGAATATCTAAAGCAATCATTGATAACCTTTTAAAAAAGGAAATGTGTTCCAAAATTGGAGTAAAAATTTATTTCAATTAAATTTTAAAAACTGTTGTCAAAATTATAGACATGGCATAAAAGAAGCACTTAAATAAGGTTTAATTACCTCATTACATGTGTGTTTTACAGGTAAAAAGAAAGCCTTTTTTTCCTTAACTCGTGTATTTCTTATGTAGTGAATGTAAAAGGCATTGCGATTTAAGTTTTATAGGATGTTGCAATTTTTAATGAATGTTATTAAGAATTTGATACTCTCGGACCAGGTGTGATCTTTTTAAAGAGATTGCCCCGAGCAGGAGGTATTACTTTATACTTCACCACTAATCAGAAGAACAATTGTATTCATTTCTTTGTCATCCTGTTTTGATATATATTATATATCATGTATTCCAAATTATAATATGAATAGATATATTTCTGATATAAGTTGAAACAATTTCCGTGATTTTGTTGACTGTTGTTACCTCAGTTAAAAGATAATTATATAACTATTGTATGTAACCATGAAACATCAATTGTTTTTTAATGAATTTACAAAAAATAAGTTAAAAAAACACAAGCCAAACAAGAACGACCTTGATAAGGTTTTATCACCCTCAGTATAGGTGTGGTATTTAGGTAAAAGAATGTATTTTTCTAACAAAACTCTAAAACTTTGAAATTATTTTAATTAAATTGTTATTTTAGATAATTTGAATTAACCATCTCTTTTTGTTAAATATGAGAATTATGTAAGGATATAACAATCTGTTTTATATATATATATTTATTTTATTGTGGCTGTGATGTCAGTTAAAAAGAAATTTATTTTAATAGTTAGAATTGAAAAAAGTAGATGTTATTTGGTCAAGTATGGTTCAAATAAAAAAAGAAAATTGTGGTTTGATTGCCAATTAGACAACTCTCCACAAGAGACCAAAATGACACTAAATCCTTCGTATGTTGGATGTGTACGGATTCATAATTTAGTCTTAGATGCATGATTTTTTTATTAGTTGTAAGTGGCTTTGAACTAGCTGTCAGTTAACTGTGAGTACTCTCAGATATGTACCTTGTGTCTTTTTGTTGTTGGGATGTACAAGTACCCGGTCACGTCATTTGTTTTTTATCCATCTGATGAGTTAAGACTTTTTCAACTTATTTATATAGTTCGTTCTTATGTTATACTGTTATACCACTGTCCCAGGTTAGGGGGAGGGTTGGGATCCCGCTAACATGTTTAACCCCGCCACATTCTGTATGTACGTGCCTGTCCTTAGTCAGGAGCCTGTGATTTAGTGGTTGTAGTTTGTTTATGTGTTACATATTTTTTTTTCGTTCATTTTTGGTACATAAATTAGGCCGTTAGTTTTCTCGTTGGAATTATTTTACATTGTCATTTCGGGGCCTTTTATAGTTGACTATGCATTATGGGCTTTGCTCATTGTTGAAGGCCGTATGGTGACCTATAGTTGTTAATTTCTGTGTCATTTTGGTCTCTTGTTGAGAGTTGTCTCATTTGCAATCAAATCACATCTTCTTTTTTTATATTTCAGACTGGTCTAGTATTGTCAAGACCTTTGGTCGAGTAAGGTTTAGACTAAAAATATAGGTGGACTACACGTTGAGACTAGGTTAAGACTGTTCTAGACTGGTCGCGTAATACTTCAGACTATTCCCAAGGCAAAGACAAGGATCAAGTACAAATCAGTACAGTCGAGTATGGTTAAGACTGGGGTCGTGTAAAGTCGAGTAAAATTCAGACCAATTCAGACTGTTTGAGTAAAAATCAGTACAGTCAAATACAGATTTAAGCCATTTCAGTCTTATACTGATTTGTAGTGTTTGTGCACAGTAAAAATATTCTTTCAACAAAGTGTACTACCGGTAGTGTTATAACGGCGTAGCTATACAAATTTAGTTAGTATGTTTAATTTTAATACGAATACAATACAAATATATGTGTACTATTAATTTCAAATGCGAACCATATGAACGTATTGATCCCTTGAATAAAGTTGCTCAACAGAGGTTTTAATTTTTTTCGGTATATATGAACTACGTCAAAGTAAAACAAGAATATTTTACCTCTAACCAAACTAAATGTTTGAACCTTTGAAAGAATTTAATAACGATGTTTAGTAATTTATGGTAAAGATATCGATCGCTGATTTAATGATATACGAGTGATACATATACTACGCTTATTCTAACTATCGGCAGTAAATGTAAAGAATTCTTTATCTAGAATGTTATCAAGGTAACGGAATCTAAATAATTTTGACGATAAAGTGTAATGTATTACATTACAAAATCAAATTTTCTATTACAAAGAAGTATTAGATGCGTGTCTGTTTATGCTTAAACACACTTATAAGTAAACAAGCATACCTATGCAAATCGTAATCATGGTTTTTGCTGAAAAGCGGACTTGATTATCTGAAATGAATTCCAAACAAAAAGTAAAATCACAAAAATACTGAACTCCGAGGAAAATGCACAACGGAAAGTCCCTAATCAAATGACAAAATCAAAAGCTCAAACACATCAAACGAATGGATAACAACTGTCATCTTCCTGACTTGGTATAGGCACTTTCTTATGTAGAAAATGGTGGATTAAACCTGGTTTTATAGCTACCTTAACCTCTCACTTGTATGACAGTCGCATCAAATTGCATTATATTGACAACGATGCGTGAACAAAACAAACAGACATAATAGGTAAAAATGTCAATAATACAGCAGTCACGTTGGGTATAATCCTTATCACTAAAAATACATACAAACATGTAACAAAGAAGCACAAAATAGCATACAGACCAAGCATATTAGTAAAAAATAAGGACAAGAATACACAAATTTACCATAGTACAATAACACAATGACGGGATATATAAGTACATAGCCACGTCATATATGTAACGAAGAAACATAAAAAGGCATATATTTTACCTTAGTTATTCATCTCTTATTTTTATTAACTATGTATTTGCATTGTATCACAGATCAAAGTTATTCGTTCATTGTGTGTTAATTTGTGTTACTACGTTTTTTGATTGAGTTAAGCCTTCCAATTGATATTTTATAGTATGTCTTTCTATGTTGTGATGTTATACTATTGTTTCAGAAAAAGGAGAAAGTTTGGTACCATTAAAACGTTTAATCCCGCTGCAATTGTTTGCACTTGTCCTAAGTAAGGAATCTGATGTTCAGTGGTTGTCGTCTGTTTATGTGGTTCATCAGTGTTTCTCGTTTCTCGTTTTTATATAGATTAGACCGTTGGTTTTCCCGTTTGAATGGCTTAACACTAGTAATTTTTGGGCCCTTTCTAGCTTGCTGTTCGGTGTGAGCCAAGGCTCCGTGTTGAAGGCCGTACTTTGACCTATAATGGTTTACTTTTATAAATTGTTACTTGAATGGAGAGTTGTCTCATTTGTACTCATACCACATCTTCCTATATCTATATAGACAAAGCACATAGCAAAGATAAAAGACGAGCAACAAACAAGTTTTCGAAGTAACACCAAAAGACATATAGACAAAGCACATTAGCAAAATGAAAGACAAGAATACGACAATGTCATAAACAATAAAGACAGAATGTACAAGTACAAGTAATACCAATAAAATAAACAAATACTTAACAAACATGCATAAAAAGGCATATATCAAATGGAACAACCTTTTTCATCGCTTTATTTTTTTTGAAATTTATTTATGTATGTTAAATCTACCCATAAACGATTGCAAGGTTTTAAACACGATAAACATGGCTCTAACACTGAATCGTGCGTATGACGTCAAAATGTAAACGTCACACAGGTAGAACTATAAAATAATGTCGTTCAAATTATCCAAATTATGTCTATAGTTCTTTACACATATCCTCTGCAGAATGTAAATTAGAAGTTTAAATTTCCTTCTTGCCGCTTGTCTGTAAGGTAATTGTGTATATCTTCTAAAAAAAGAGCCACGTCATTATGTATAAAAGAAACACAACAGGGCATATAGACAAAGCATTAGCAAATATGAAAGACCAGAATACAATAATTATAATAGAACAATAACACAGTACCGAGATGTTTAAGTACAAAGCCACATCATATGCATCAAAGAAACACAAAAAGCCACAAGGACAAAGTAAATATGAAAGATAATGCAAACAACAAAATGACGGGATGTATAAGTACAGAGCCACGTCAAATGGATATCACAAATAAAAAAGGAACAAACGGTAAAAGTAATATTAATAAAAACAAATTAGAGAACACTATTACACGTATTAAGATGACAAACAACGTCAGTACGCAGAATCTATACTTCCAGACCATCGTGTATTATTTGTGAAGTTGATACGGAATATATATCAACAAGGTCTTGGTACCTTCCGATGAACTTTTTTTTAGGAAAAGGACGACACGTTCTTTGACAAACCCCTGGTTCATCAATCTTCTGCTCAGACACTGGTGACGTTTTACAAAGCCTGAGCAGGAGCTGCAAGCTCTTGAATACTGAATAAGTTGTAAAACGCATATCCCATATGCAGGTGAAGTTGGTGTATTGCTACTAAGGTGGGAGAAATTGAAATAAAAACGCTCAAGCTTATTGTGATAAAAAGGTGGAACACAGTAACCCAGAATATATATTGCTTCAAATTGAGGGAATCAGATAAAGGCAGAAAGCATGATTACTCTAGATTCACTCATTTTGTTAAATCCAATCTTGGATATCTATATTTTTTAACAAACAGTCTCAAAAAGTTGAAAAACGATTGGGAGAAGTGACTCAAGAGCTAATTGACTGTTGAATGAAACAAGGCAAAAGATATGATTAAACTGAGAAATGTGGCTAATACGATAACTGACTCTAAAACGATGCATTATACAAATGTCAGAGGTTTCGATCAAACAATAATAAATTTCATCCGCTTTGAACAAGATTAAAGCATTGGAGATATTTTTTGGCAAAAAGCACATAAATCAGATACATACTATCAAACTTGGTGGTTACATATATTTGTTATCATTGATAAGGTAAGCGTTAATTATCCTTACTTCAGAGACGATTATGTTCATCTGAACGGCTCTGAAAGGAGGAATATATTTAGTAAGACATGTTCTTTTGTTTGTTAAGTTCATCGTCAAATATTTCCTCTAAAATTATTTCTGTTTGCACATTTCATTTGCGGTATATTTTCAGAATGTTTCAGTATGTTTAAGATACAGAACAAAGGTAACAAAAAAAGGCGGGTCACAATCATTCCCGCGTAGTTTTTCTGCACTAGAAGTCAGGTCAAACAACAAAAGGGAACACAATCCTTAATAAAGTACGGTTTTTGCGTTTACGAAAGCGCTTTTCATTTGATTAACTGTTCCCTTTTCTGTGATTGATATCAGATAAGTAGGAGAGAGTTTGGAGGGGGGACTTCTTGAAGTGATAAGCAAAACAAAAATAACTTTATTTTCTATTATAATAGTCTCAATATATAAATAATTCATTGTTCTCTTTCGTCGTGTTCGTAGCCATTTCGGATTTTCAAAAAAGGCAAAAGTGAGGTAGGGGTTGGGGGAGGGGTAGGGGGTTATAGTTTTACCCTTCACTAATGTAATTTTGTAAGTGTGTAATGATGTATGTATATGGCTATGGTCCGCTTTCCTGACTCCGAAGCCCCGCATTTGTATAAACCCCGTCAAACCAAGAAAAAGTATGCATACCGGTATGTTAAAAAAACAAAATAAATCAAACAAAGGAATATGTTTTGCCTCCTCCCTCATCCATTTTGAAAGTAAAGTGATTGCCTTTTTCCCCCACCATCTCCTCCATCCCCATAATAACTCCCAAAATATATAAAAAATAAAAACATGAACAATCGATTAAAGAAATTTTGAATTCAATGACATATAAAATGAAATAAGTTACAGTAATCACACAAACCTAAATACAACATGTATAAATATGAAATCAATAACATATAGAACAACATATATAGATATAAAAATGATGTTACTTTTTTATTATGGGGAATAACATATATATTGAAAAATAGTATATTTTGTATCGTTTATAATTTTTCTGATCCATTTATATTTTGTATTTTGCATATCATTTTTTTTTAATATCATGCTCATTAAAGTAAAGAAAAATTTGAGTAGACCCAAGTTTTGATCATTTGACACAATATTGTTTTCATTTTTCACCCCTATATTCAAAACGGATGACAGCATATTTGACGTTTAGACTGATTTCACGCTATCACAATTCGACTTGAACAAATTCCGTGATCGTGAATAGAAAAAGCATAATTCTCCGTACAGTTCGATTTGGCCAGATTTTTAGCTTAACTGGTTATCAAAACCCGCGAGAGGTTTGTACGTTGAAACATTTTATGGTTGCATTTACTCTTGCAATCAGTATCTTTGTGAACACTTTTTTCAAAACCAACTTTTTGGGACATAGTTACCTCTTTTATAAATATAATTTTATGAACACTTTTCATGTAATTTGTATTTATAAAATTTGGTAATTATGTCTAACAGTCACTGAATGCACGAGTGACTCTACTCATTAAACGTGTACGTGTAATAAATCGTACAACCAGTATTGATTGACCAAACTACAGCAATGATATATGTATCGTCTAATATAATAACAGTCAGTAAAGGATTAAATTGCAGAAGAATATCGGAGGGAACATATATACACAACATCAACATGATCAACATAGGTAGATATTTACAATGACTAACCGGTCCAGATAGTCGTGTCAAACTTATATAATATAATCTATAAAACTATTTTTATTAAATTATGTGTTTATCTTCTCACGTATATTTGTTGCTTTGTCTATCGTATTTATTTTTTCATTATAATAATTGATGTTCTTAATGATTTCCGTTATCAAATAATAAAAAAATATAATATCTTACTAAACAAAATCTTAAAAATTTTACTATCCATGTTCTTACCAATATTGTCTGTTTCTTTTTCTGATATCCGAAACTGATATTGCAAAGCTGTATCTTTACGATGAGAGCTGCAATATGTGAGACGGAATCAACATTAAAGACACAAAGTGTTACTCTTTTAAAATCTGGAATAGTTTTGCAGTTTGAATGTTAGGATTAGTTTTATTGATATTATCTTTTGGAATGAATATCTCACCTTTCAATCGATACGCACATATAATGAATATCTAGTGGCGTCTCATATCGTATAACTGTAACATAAAGCACAATTTGTTTCATCGTTTAACGAAATTGTACATGTTGTAGTACACATTCAGGGGTTGATGGTGTAAATGTGACACTTGGAGAAATAAAAAAATGAATATATCACACCTTAATGTCGATAGATAATTAATACTATTGCAGATACAATTTGAAAAGGTCATTCAAACTATTTTAAATTATTGTAATCTCATATATATCATTGCAGGTTTATATCAATGTTATAAATATAAAGATTTGCTTTTGTCAGAAAGTAATCAACCGAAATCTGTCAGATTATATTTAGTGCACTCTTATAACCAATAAACTATATCATGTGTATAACTTGGTACATGTGACGTGCATTTAGCCATCACAAATCGCATCAATGGTTGTCGAATCAAATTAGTTGAGAACACATATCAACTACAATGTTAATGAGATTTGAAAACCAACTAAACGGGTGTGTCAATTAAGACTATATTGCAGTTGGTAGAACATGTGTTGCTAAAATATCCTAATGAATTAATGTGCAATGTTAGAATGCGAACGCTAGACAAGGTTTTTATATTGACATGTCAATTCAGAACCTTGAGCAAGCTTCAACAACCAACATCATCTGCGTCTTTTGTCGATATATTAAAATCAGGTTGATATATTATTGTATCGAGCTAATTTTAAGGCTATGATTATTTAGTTTTGCATAGCATACACTGGTGTCGTGTCATTTATAATTGTTGTGGGCCCGTATTTTACTGATCAGGATCAGAAAAATCTCTTGGTCAATATTTTGTTTTTGTTTTATACAATATTTAACAAGAGTGCAAAGATTGGAATTGTCAAGTTAATTAGACCTTAAAAGGTTTAATTTATGTGCTATTTAAAGTCAGAAGATGTACACACACACATACATATATTTTATATGTTATTCAGGTCTCAGCCAGGATATTTACTGTGACATTTCCGGCTTAGAGTTTATATCACCTGAGCCGAAGGCAAGAATGGATAAATACCCTGCAACGGCAAGTCAGTGTTTTTGTTTAACGTTTTTCTTTATATCGATCTCGAGAGTTAAGCCTTTTTCAATATATTTTTTATAGTTTGTTCGTATTTGTTACTGTTTCGACACTGTTTTAGGTTAGGGAAGGGATGTGCACTCACAAACATGATTAACCCCACTACATGAAAGGATCTTGAAGTTTAGTGGTTGATATTTGGCCCAGGTCTGTCATATTTGTTTTTCTTAAATTGTTCTATTATAAGAGAAGTCGTTAGTTGTCTTAACTGGATTGTTTGATTTTCATCTTGGAGACCATATGATATGTGTTTTTCTCATTGCTGAAGGCCTTATGCTTGACTACAATTACCTACATCAACTTCATTTGCATTCTGGGGGATAGTTGTATTATTGTCAATCATATAAAATCTCCATATTTTTATAATGAACTAAAAAGGGAAAGTACACTAACATTTGCTGAAATAAATGGTCAAACTTATTTATCGTGTTTAGAAGAGGAATAGTCATAAATATTATAAAACAATATAATGAATATATATAAAACTAGAAACAAATATTCTTACCTTGCATATATCATATCGGGACAAGAAGATATGAAGGTTTTGTTATCTCTATGAATACACATATATTCTGCAAAAAAAATACACCTTAGAATATAAAACAAGCTTTGTCTTGACTTGAACTGTTCATTGTTAATGTTGGGTTAACTCCGCAAACGTGTTTTACAAATGATGCAAAGGATGTTTTTGTTCTATATGAATATTTTGTTTTATGTTTTACATTTACATATCTTCAACATAAATTGGTCAGCAATTGCCTCTCCATATTTATCAATATTGTTGTAAACGTTAGATAACGCGGTATTACCTTTGTGTTAACGCAACGTCGTTCCCGGTAAAATTTACAGTTGACAATTTAGCGTTACAAAATTCCGCAAACATGTCTCATTCGAATAACATATGCATCTTCTATTTTATTGGTAATTCTACATTTGTTTAGTTACTGCTATTTGCATGCTTCATATTGATAAATTGGTGTCGAGACGTATGAAATTGTGCTTGTTTTCTTTTTAATCCAATATTTACGTATGTATTGCCAGTGATTTATATGATTAACCTTGACCGGAAGCGACCTATTTGCTTACACGAAGAGAAAAGGCGTTCTAAGTTCAATGAAAAGGGGATTTCAGAGAGGCAAAACGAATGTGAACTCATCTTTTCAGAAACTTAATAGGTAAATACTACTAGCACAAAAATCACTTAAACCGTTTAACATATTTTACCTTTATTCTTTGTAGTACTTTATAGTTATAATAACGATTTCTAATACTTGAAATAGTAGTTTAGTTGTTATATTGTTAAAAACCTGGCAAAGGTATTGTATTAAAGATTGAGAACAATCTTTACACTGGTGGCAGCGAATTTAAATTTGTTTTTAAAGAAAATCTTAAGAATCTACGTATTTTATTAGGCAGGCAATGCAATTATTAAGTAAAAATATTTTGAAATTGTTACTGTCCATATTTGTTTAAACTTAAAAACAAACTGAACATAATATAAAAGTACACTTCAACAAAACATGAAAGAAAGGAAAAGCACAGTTGGTGAGATTAATTAAGCTTATAGTATATATTTTAATAATTCAACAAGGATAAATTCTAATACAAGTTGAAGGAAAATATTTATTGAGTGATAATATATATCAACAAAAGGATAAATATAAATTTGTTGAAAAGAAATATGTAGTAATCAAAATCTATGTCAACAAGGATACATTTTAAACCAAGTTAAAAAGGTCATAATGATCAAATTTGAATATATATCAACAAGGATAAATATGAATCCAAGATGAAATAAAATGGTTAAGCGGTACACATCAATGAAGATAAATTCTAATCTATAGAAATAAGAAGATGTGGTTTGCGTGCCAATGAGACATCTCTCCATCCAAGTCACAATTTATAAAAGTAGACCATTATAGGTCAAAGTACACTCTCAAACGGGAGCCTTGGCTCACACCGAAAAGCAAGCTTAAAAGGGCCCAAAAAATGACTAATGTAAAACCATTCAAATGGGAAAACCAACGGTTTAATAAAAAAACAAAAACGAGCAACACTTATGAACGTTAAATGTTGAATGTTAAAATATATAAATATTTAAGTCAAATTCAACAAGGATTAAATAAAATCCAAGTTGAGCTATATTTATATCGAATATACCATATTCAACAATGATAAACTTGAATCCAAGTTGAGTTTTATATTTAGGAGTCAATTTGTCATGTTTTAAAAAGAATAAATCTGAATCCAAGTTGAATATCAAAACCACAGTTTTTTTTTCTATAGGGTCTAGTTAAAACATTATAAAGATATAAAGAGATGTGGTATGAGTGCCAATGAGACAACTCTCCATCCAAGTAAAAATTTATAAAAGTAAACCATTATAGGTCACAGTACGGTCTTCAACACGGAGCCTTGGCTCACACCGAACAGTAAGCTATAAAGGGCCCCAAAAATTACTAATGTAAAACCATTCAAACTGGAAAACCAACGGTCTAATCTATATAAAAAAACAAGAAACGAGAAACACTTATGAACCACATCAACAAACGACAACTACTGAACATCAGATTCCTGACTTAGGACATGTGCAAACAAATGCAGGGGATTCAAACGTTTTAATGGTACCAAACCTTCACCTTTTTCTGAAACAAAAGTGTAACATCACAACATAGAAAGACACACTGTAAAATATCAACTGAAATAGCTTAACTCAATCAAAGGACATATTAACACCAGTGAACATACACTGAACAAATAAATTTGACCTATGATACAATGTAAATACAAAATAAGTAAACTAAGGGAAGAATAATAAAAGTAACATGTTATATCGGTATGAAATGTTAAACAATTTGAGAAAAACAATATGCTCGAAGACAAATATCAGCCACTTGCAATAACTTTAAACACAGGTAAATGAAAATAATTTAGTTGTTAGGTATACGTGTACAGTTCCAATAGAGAAAGGAAATATTTTTACAAAATAAATAATTTTGATGTTCATAGTATGAAGTGAAAATTAATAGTAATACCAAACACTTATCAAAGCTGGTATATAGACCAGTATAACCCTGAATAACATTAAATAACAAAAAAGCATTACAATTAGTACCAACAGGTCAAATAAACAAGAAAGTACGATTTGAGAGTACTCGCAGTTACTGACAGCTAGTTAAAAGCCAAAACAATTAATAATAAAAAATCATGAATCAGAGACTAAAATCAACTAAAACACATCCCAGGGATTAAGTATTTGAACGTCATGGACAGTGAAAGAAGACATGAATAGTGCAATGCCAAAAATAAATGTATCGACAAACAGTAGGATAGTTAGGAGTTTAACCTCTTTATAGATCAAAATGAACGTGGGTGTGTCATTATAAATCCTGTTTAAAAAGAATACAAATTTAGTTATGTTTTAATTTGCTGATGACAACATCGATATTAGTGCCAATGTAAACTATATTCAAAGATATAATTACAACATTGGTAAGATAACATTTCTAATAAGTTTGTTTAAAGGTTCGATGAGTTTACACGGATCACATAGTGATTTCCGCGCTTTAAGTACAATATTACCGTAAAATTTAGGATGTGAAATACCGTTTTTAATCAGTTTTTTACAGATACAGCCAAATTTACTAATCAAATCTTTATATCTATGAAAGAACTAAGCAACAGTTTTACGTAATTTATGGTAACGAAATCCCTTACTTAATAATTTACCAGTGATGCATAGATTACGTTCGTTAAAATATATAACATCACTACACACACGGGCATAACGAACGAGTTGGGATATATAAACACCGTATGATGGAGCCAAAGGAACATTGCCGTCTAAAAAAGGAAAATTAACAATAGGGAATGAAAAATCGTCTCATTTGTCGTAAATATTTCGAAGTTGTATATTAAATAGTACATTTCACAAGTTTTACAACAAGGATAACTATACGTCTTAGTTGTAGTTATATTTCATTAAGGTTAAAGTTGAACGTCTATAGTCTATTTCATTTTTTTTTATTTAAATAGTCTATTTCACAACGTAAGGATAGATTCATAATCCCAAATTGTGATTTAAAACTAAGGCATAGGAAATTCTATGTCAAATTCAACAAGGTTAAACAGTCATCTAATTTGAATAATTATGAAAAAGTACAAGACTTACCAGAATAGAATTTAATCTAACATGTCTAAGTTGAAAAGTAAATTCAAACTCTTGATTCCATTCAACAGTCAAAAGTTATATGTATTAATAGAGAAACAGACAACCTATTATGTTTACGGTATCAATGTCTTTAGGTAGGGGAAGGGGATCTTGAATAAACTCACCAAGTTTAGCAATTTCCAACTTAGCCTTATCATCTGGGAATATTGAGGGTCATTTTTCAGGGTATTTTACTGCAAGACTGTCCCTAATTTTAATCAAGGGGAGACAATAAATGAGTACCCAAATATAATGCCTACTACAATTTATGAGGGCGAAAGGGAGATAGCTTCTTTGACTGATCGAAATTCTCGTACAATGGATCATTCCGTCAACTTATTTGCTATAAGTCATATAATTGAGAATAACTACAATCCGTTCTTGGTTCTAACCCAAAGTAGAAATGATGGCGCTTTAATTTCCAGATCAACAAACCCTATTAGTGATACGCTCATACAATTAAAAAGACAATTAGATGCCGTAAAAAATGAAAATTTTGAATTAAAGCAAACAGCCCAACAAAACAGCCTCTCTATACCAAGTTCAAGTCAAAATAACCCTAGTCAACTTCTGGTCAACACCATTACACAGTCGACAGAGTATATAGAAACCATGTGTATGCTGGTACCCATAGACATAAAAACCAGGATATTGTTAGCAGTAACATTTCACAGAATTCAGTTTGTAACGACAAAATGTATACTCAGATTCAATTTTTGAGCAACACATATCCTCATAATATGCAAAGATTTATCTATTCACAAAAACAGTACAGAATACTAGTAGCCATTATATATACAGAATCACGCCCAAAACAGAAATTTGTCAAGTAATCCAGTTCCAAATATAGATTCCCGACAATATCGACCAATCACAGAGCCAAACTTGCTACCAATGCACATCCCAGTGGACCTGAGTATATCACATATCAGAAGTTCAAAGATTAAATGATAATGGACGCAGAACAAGAGTGCCATTCTACAACGGAAAGGATCCAGGGAACGAATATATGATGCAATTTAAGCTGATTGCAGAAAAGAATAATTGGACTTCACCAACCATGGCCATTGAACTGGTTACAGCTCCCAAAGATGAAGCAACGGTCTATGCATCATTCCTTACACCAGAGACAAAATGAACATATTCAGTACATTTTGCAGCCAGGTCCAACAGATTCGGAGACCATGGGTATCCTGAAACTTACAGACAAGAGCTCAATACTTTGAAAAAGAACAACAGAGAACACAATACAACAGTTCAAGGGTTGGGATGCTAGTCAGGAAGTCTTTCCCAACCATTGACACAGCAACACAAAGTACACTCAGTGTTGAGCACATACTCAAAGGATTGCCGGAACAGAGTATTGCTATTGAGCTGCTGACTGAAAGGGTTATCAGTACCACAGAGGTAATACATCAAATCACGCTATATGAGACTTGCATGAGAGGTACAAGAGATAGGAACATCCGTCAGCTAGGTACAACGGTGGATAGTTATAGGAATACATGTGCTGTCAGAGTATTTTATTTTTGTCTACCTTAACAAAAAAGCTAAATTTCTCATAAATTCCATTCTTTATACTATTTACCTCCCCTTTGTGTTCTAATGTTATAATATAAAACCTAGCAAACATATCCTACAATTATAAAACAATTTAACGATAGGTCGGATATCGTGTTTTTGTCAAGTGAATCGGTTCACTTTTTTCGAGTGTAGATATTTGTTTTTTTTCGAGTAATATTACATGCGACTACTTCTATTTCGCGTTAATAATTTTTTTTTTCACGACTTTTCCTTTTATTCTCAATACTTAACATGTTTGGACCACACACGAAGCCCAATTTTCTTTGCAGTTCCCTTACTATTTAGTGTTTAACATTGTTTTTTTTTTCGATGGCAACATTTAAACGCCACCCCCCCCCCCTGGTTTTTAAACAAATGGTCTGGGTTTATGAAAGACAAATTTAATGTGAATAAGAAACAATTCTTGGGTTTGAAAAAATCTTACTTTTCTAGTTTGAAACTATAATTAAACGAAGTGCAATATTATATTTACCTAATAAATAACAACACATATTACCATATTGATCGAACTAACCAATTTTATTTGAATGATAGTTTTCTGTCAATAAAACAATTTGCTATACATGTAACCTTTGGATCGATACTTAATTTGTACCTTGGCGTTGACTGGTTGGATAGTTCCACCGTATGTACATTGGCGTGCACATGATCTCTCAAATTATACTACTAGTATGCTATTTATAAATGTGGCCGAAAGAAATATATACAAATATTCGATTCTTTTTACAATGTTTTACTACGTGATATGTACTACAGTATGACCAAACTGCTCAAATGCATTAGCATTGTGGATTGAAAAGTATTTTTTTTATTTTTTTTTATTGCTGTTCTAACCACGTACTCGCAATGATATATATCAATTTTAATACATTTGGTTTAATAACTCGATCAAAACCTGGACAGCACTAAAAACACGGACTGTTCTCGACAAAATACGGACATGTAAATAAACTTTATTCTCTAAATGTCCCTTTCAAAGCAGAAACGCGAATTTTCATAAGTATATCTACGTATGTATAGATCCCATACACATATTGCCTTTGAAATTTGCGTCAGCACTTGTATAATAAAAACTAAATCTATGTTTTGAAATGGTTTCATTGCACAGCTGAATTAAAATTTTGGGATAAAAAAAATCAATGTAGGGGAATGATTTCTTTTTATAACTAATGCTAACTTACCTTGTATAAGTTTGTATATCTACTTTAAGCATCCTTTTCATTTAATAGGATTAAACGCCTTTTTTAAAATAAAAACTCGACCAATCCACTCACAAACAAATAGTGAGTGACTTGGTACAGTTTATACACCAATATTATTTTTTAAAAAGGCGTTTAATCCTCATAATTCTTTAAAATTGGAGAGAAGGAATTTAATTTCCACACTTTTAACCTCTATTACTCGTAAATTGTATATTTATGCCATTGAACTGGCGCGGCGGATGAATATATTTCTCAGTTAACTCAAAACAAAAACTGTACTCCATAATATTTGCTATCGGATAACAAAATAAACTGCAAAACTATCGTATTGTCATTCAAATGAATGTTTTAGTTTATTATTTAATTTACCGATGGACGCAAAGGGAAAGTAAATTTTTTTAACGTTGCCGCCATCTTGCTTACATTGGTTACAAAATGTAGTTAGGTTAATGTTGTCTATCGAAAAAAGAATAAGAAACTCAACCGGAAGCCTTCTCGACCAACCGTATAAAAGTATTTCTTTTTATGCAAATAATATAAGAATTATATAAGAATAAAGAGGAAGTATCTTTGATCACATTTTTATCATATTTATTCGACAAAACATGGTCACACTCGAAAATGACCGATCAAAACACTAGAAAAAAAACGAAACCAGCCGGACATTATACTTGCTGTAAATTTAGTAGTTATAATATGAAATCGCATACGTTTATATTCTTGAATCATCATTTGCTGACTAAAAAAGATTTAAAAGTTTCTGCTATTATAATTCAAGATATTTGACCGGTAACTATAACATTGATTTGCATTAACACTAAACGGTTATAAAAGAAAACTTACAACACTGATTTGAAGTTGCGTGCGTTAACCAGAAGAATTTTTATAATCTTTCTTCATAGTTCAATGATGTCATTTACACAATCTTAACTAAGGTTACTCCTTCATTGACGAGGGAGTAAATTGGAATAGCCCAATAACCAAACAAGAAATGGTCATGCCGATCCATTGAAATTTCATCAAGGGTGTGTACTGAACACATTTGAAGAAAGGCATATCCTAATTGTTCTAATCGTTATTGTGAAGTTCGATATCCATCTCAATGGGGAAACTGTATTGCAATACATATTTAATGTTAATGCCGTGTGGGCTTTTTTGGTTAGAAAAAATCTTAACTACACTGTTGTATCTAAAATCATTTCGGAAGCGTGTATGATAGTTACCAGGTCCTCCAACTCCGTTGCTAGTTGCAATTGTTACATTTCCATTTGAGCACTCCGGTTGCTTCCAACAATAAAAACTAATCGCCATGAAACAAATTATATATCCCAAAGTTAATACGTGATATTCGTGAGAGTCCATAATTGGTGAATGTTGCTTTTGGAGTCGCTTTTATATAACCAAAAAAACAATTGCGCAAAGTAACAATTATAGGGTAAGCGTTCATTATCTACAAAAGACGTTTTTTGAAACGAACATCAATGTTTTGATGCCTAAAATGCTAAATGTGACGACTCTTACAAATACAGTTGAAAAATATATACATTAGTGTAATACTGCACATCATATATTTTTCAGAATTATTTCAGAGTTGATCTGAAAGAAGTCATTTCTTATCTGATGACCATATTGAAACCAGTTCACAACTTTCCCAATGTCACCATCTCGTAAAAATGTTGAAAATATTTCATCTTCGTCAGACATGAAGGCATGTAATGATATCAATGTCTTCTATTACATTCAAAAACTATCTTGCATAACCATTTTGCTCGAAGATCGTTTACATTATAGTTAAATTGCCTGAGTACGGTCAAAGGGCAGAAACATGGAGGAGACAATAAATACTGAATTTGAAAGGTATAATTACCGAAAAGGAACCAACCATATTAAAACTGATTTTCTCAAGAACAATACCCCTCCCTCAACATCTGACTTTCAAATGTGTTTGGTGGTACATCATAAGTTTCCATTTATGAACTATTTTGTGTTAAATTGTTTTTGATTGAAATTGATTAGCTCTTATTTATAAGATGTCATTTGATGACAGAAGTAATAGTATTTGTTTTATTTACATGAAACTTGTTCGCCAGTATAAATCTAATTTGTGGTTGAAAAAAAGCACAGTGCATAAATTGTCTGTATTTCCGCCTCACTTATACAGTTTGAACAAAGAAAAAAAAACATAATGATCATCGATTTTGTCATCCATCTAATACAGTTTTTGAAAAAAATAAGTCGAACAGCACACATAAAATACGTACCAGATGTGAGTTTGAAGTTTGGTAAGCATTTCTTTACGTAACAGGAGCAGTCTTCCATTGCTGGTAAACATTTACATTGATGCTGCGGCCTGACCACAAAAGCGTAACTATTCGTAAAATCACATCGACATGATCTGTCTTCTTTTGAAGATCCATTGTAAAACAAAACCTGTCCTTCCTCATTACATAATGATTTACGTAGGACACATTCGCTGCTTACATTTATGTCAAGCTTAAAAGGTTGATACTTGTTTTCATTTTTGCATTTTTCTCCACGTGGAAGATGACTGATAATGTATTCCTCCCCTGCAAACACAAGATAATATTCAATAAAGCAAATATGTGAAGAGAGAACGGAAGGATAAAGAACTTCCAAAATATTTTTGTGAACCGAAATAAATTTTAATGTACGATAGAGGACATGTGAAAGAGACTAGATAAACTTGATACTTGTGTTTTTTCTACGTGGACTATTACTAATAAAACGTAAATGAATAACTGGAAACTGATAACACAGATTAACTGCAATATTCTTCACATTAATCATAGTAAGATATTCCGACCACTCCAATGATTTAGGGCAATAAATCTATAATCAAATATCATGCCAACAAAAAATAATGTTTGGTCGTAAAAGACGTTCGAACAAATGAATAACAGAAACAAGGTGGTTAGGCAATTTCATCCTCTTGTAGAAATCGTTATAAACGGAAAAATCATATTCGAGATTATAAATTAATATTGTGGATATTCGAAAATAATTGAGAACAAAGAGGCTGATCGGTCAAAAGGAAACTTTAAACAATGGCAATAACTGACAAAATTAAACGACCGTCTACAAACCCTATTTATGAGTAAGAATAGCACGAACCAAATTAGAAGCTGGTTAAAGAATATTTGAAAATATCAAACTGAGATATAGGATTCAACATATAAAGTCTGCCTCATACTTTGATTTAAACTAGAAATTGATAACTCGGGTCAAACATAGAGGCTGATCGGTCAAAAGTAATCAAGAAGATACATTACCAAGAATAATATGATTCCTTTGATCTAATTAACGTTTATTTTGGTGGTGTAACGATATAGTGTAAGAAACGGCTTGTACTCGTTAATTTCGTTTTATTTGAGAGCTTTTAACTTGGTTAAAGAATATTTGAAAATATCAAACTGAGATATAGCATTCAACATATAAAGTCTGCCTCATACTTTGATTTAAACTAGAAATTGATAACTCGGGTCAAACAAAGAGGCTGATCGGTCAAAAGGAAACTTTAAACAATGGCAATAACTGACAAAATTAAACGACCGTCTACAAACCCTATTTATGAGTAAGAATAGCACGAACCAAATTAGAAGCTGGCTGATCACTAGTGCTCTGGAAGAGTAGACGACATTTGCTGACTCACATGTGTCATACTATATGCGTGTTGCTTATAGTTATTTCAAATTTGGTGATAAATATGTAAATTCTTTAACGTTGATGACAAGGAATAACAAACACTAAAATATCGTTTAATCAAGAAGATACATTACCAAGAATAATATGATTCCTTTGATATAATTAACGTTTATTTTGGTGGTGTAACGATATAGTGTAAGAAACGGCTTGTACTCGTTAATTTCGTTTTATTTAAGAGCTTTTAACTTGGTTAAAGAATATTTGAAAATATCAAACTGAGATATAGCATTCAACATATAAAGTCTGCCTCATACTTTGATTTAAACTAGAAATTGATAACTCGGGTCAAACAAGGTGAAAAACAAACATTAATGACAAAAATGATAATTTAAGTCTACCCGTTGTGAACTTTTCATTTTCTATGTTGCAATCTTCCATCAGCGTCTGCATACGGTGTATATATCTCAAAGTTGGCACGATAGTCAAGTGCGTGCATTTCCTATAAATTCCTTGATAGTTCCCCGTATTTAAAATACTGAACTAGACTTATCATCGTGTGTGTACTAACAAGAGTAACACGACTGGTCAACTTGTGGAGAAGGATCTGCTGATACTTCCGGAACACCTGATATCACCTAAAGTTTTTGGTGGGGTTCGTGTTTCTCAGTCTTTATTTTTCTATGTTATGTTTTTTAAACTTTTGTTTGCCGATTGGCCTATTTCGTTTTAGCCATGGCTTTGTCAGTTTATATTCGACTTATGAGTTTGAATTACCCTTTTGTATATTTGCCTCTCTTTTTTAAATACAAAAAAAAAAAATGTTTAAAATAAGTCTTACCTAGATCCAATAGATCAGGTTCATGTTTACAGGCCTCTTCATATTTTTGATTGAAAACGTTATATAGACAGGTATATCTAGATGTTGTTATCCCATTGCAGTACCAATTTGCTCTAATCTTCCATTCAGATGGAGACGGACAATGAAACTCACGATAACATAAACATATTATGGTACTTATGATAAGCTGAAAGTCAGATATACTTCCAATTAGATACAATTGAGTGTATTGGCTTAGGAGATACATACTAAATAGTATTGATATTTGTAATTCTACAAATATATGATTATGGTTCACATAGAAAAAAAAACAACAGTCCATATAACCAACACATACCTCCCCATACCCATACAATAAAATGGAAAATCTCTCAAATCAATAACAGATATTCACCAAAGAAACATTTTGAGGTGTCAGACCACCAATTCACTAATAAAGTAGCCCTACTCTGACACAAAATAATGCTTTTGATGCAATTGTTTAGTTGACGTAAACAAACGAACAAATTTTCAGAAGTGAAAGAGAAATATATGTTGACCATTTTACAAAATTAACTTGTCCCTAAAACTGACGATTAATTCGCTCTATAGTATACTATTTAAGCTATACATGGGTTATTTTTAGTAGTATTTGTGTTCCGAGGAACAGTTCTTTCTTAGAAGTCTTTAAACACGGATTGAAAATTGGCATGTTGAAAGGTGATACATATATAATTCATGATATACCAGGTTTCTATGAAGTTAAACTTAAGGTAAAACATTAAGAAAGCTTTGAAAATTGCAAAATTTGGTTGAATAGATAGCAATTTTTAATGTGTGGTCTGACATCTTTAAATGCAAAAGCGATGAAACCAAAAAATCAGAAAATAGTTGATTTCCCTTTCTTCTAACTGATCATTTGAATTGATAGTAGCCTCATTTTAACTTTTTTTTGGCAAACAGTAACATATTGCAAAATTACAGTCCTAAACCTGAATGTGTGCTATTTTTAGCTTTTCACACCCTTACAAATTGCATTTATATATAAATGGTCCTAAATTGTTATGAATGCACAATAAGTGGTTTCTGTGGTATTAAACATTTAAACGTACGTAGGTTGTTTACTACCGAAATAAAATTGAAAAAAAATTGTCGTCATGAAGATTTCATGAACTTAAATTATTTGATGTTTACCCCGTATATCATTGCGTCATTCCATGCATTTAGCAAATAGCATAGTCTAAACTAACCAACACCTGTAGAAAGGTGATACATATACAATTCAGGGAAAAACTGGTTTCTATCAAGTTAAACTTAAAGAAAAATATTAAGAAAGCTATGAAAATTGCAAAATGTGGTTGAATAGATAGGGATTTTTAATAAGTGGTCTGACATCTTTAGATGAACAGTATATATTTTAAAAAGACACACAACAAGTAGAAGTTAGAACAAAGTACTTAGTGATTATATATATCAATACCTTAATATACATTTTTATCTTAGTTTCAATTCATACGCGTGCATATACCCGTAGATACTAGATGCATATTTTTTTTTTATATAAAGACCCTTTTATTTTGATGAAAACTTGATTGAATGCAGATAAATCAACTTGCTTTTACATATATAATGACGAGCATTTCCAAACGAGAAAACTTACAAGTTATTTTACCAATATGCATGTTTATTTAAAAGTCATGTAATTGAATGGACAGAATTATAAGTCAAATGTACGAAAATTATTTAAATAAACCAACCAGTGATAATCTCAAAATCATCATTTCAGCACAACAAGGAAGGTGATCCTACAAAATGAAATATCACACTTATAAGTTTGTTCCAAAAAGTGTTCACACACATACTCCTTTGTATTATTTTGAATTAAATAGTGCAAAGTAATTATTTTGTTTTATTTAACTTGCAATTTGAAGTAGTATTAAATAGTGCAAAGTATTTATTTTGTTTTATTAAACTTGCAATTTGAAGTAGTCTTAAAATTAAATCTAAGATATTATTATCTTTGAACAATCTGAATAAGGAAAACAGTTATAATTCAAACATTTGTCAAATTTAACAAATGTATCGATCTTGTTATTCAAGAAAATGCGTTACTTAAACTGTTGTCTGACATGAATGAGACTGATATTCGAATTCGTCACGAGCCATACATGAAGGCGCTAACTGGGGTGGAGGATTTAGTTACATTTCCACAACCCATAAGACCATTTTTGTGTTGTGTTTCTAAGTCTTATTTTTTTTTATATTGTGCTTTTTTTACTGTTGTTTGTCTTTTAGTTCTTATTTCCCTTATTTTAGCATATAGTCAGTCTGTTTAAACTTCTTAGTTTAAATATTCCTTCTATATCTTTTTTCTTTCATTTAAAATCATAAAGACATGTATGCTTTCTTTTTAATTTGACCTGTTGATACTTTTTCTAATGCTTTTTTGTTGTTGAATGTCTGAAAGTACCTAACAGCCAGTACCTAACCGAATAGAAGAGGTAATGAACCAGAGACTCAGCATAGCAAAAGCCAGAGAAGGAATGATGTACGGCAAAACATCAAATAATATGCCACCTTTCTGTCACCTGAATATGAGATGCACCCCTGATCTGGGCAATGTTGAAATGAACAATTTGTTTAGGGATCAAATGAAGAACATCACAGAAGAAACCAGAAATACTTTCACGGACAGAATTATCCGAACATTAGACGGTTTCCTGGAAGAGAAAAAGGAAGCAATAACAACTATAAGAAGAGAGGCGAAGGAAAAAATTGGAATTACAAGTAAAAGTGCAGGTACAGCAAGATCAATAATGTACAAAAAATTAGGAGAACTGAAAGACCATAATGACAGTAAGCTAGCCGAATTCAAGGCAGCAATCCGTTACAAACAATCCGAAAAACACAATGGGCCATATGACCAAAGGAAAAGACACAGAGACAATTCATATAATTACTAACTATAATACTATGGAAATTTGTTATGTTGTCATTGGATTTTTCTATTTCTTGTTTCATAAAACAAGTGTTAATCTGTCATCTTAATTGGATTTTAATGTTCTTAGTACCACTTCTACCACTCCTCAATACAGATAAGTGGAGTTATGCATGTTAATTAAGGTATCAATATATTGGATAACATATGTTTACTTTCCAACCACTGACATATTGGGTCAGCTGAGGTCAACATCATGATTTATTATTAAGTAGATGTACGATAAAATGTGTGCATTCAGTTTCCATTTGTCTGTGATTGCAGACAGCTGGTTTTCCCATTGTGGTTTGTTTTAGGCGTAAAGGTTATAACTGTGATCGCAATTATAACTATCAGAATTGAAATCGTCAATATTAAGAATGGCTCGCAGATTTAAAAAGAAAGTTAAAACTGTTTAACAAAAAATAAGAAAACTCGATCGGGTTTCTAGAAAGAAAAGACAAATAAAAGCACAGGTATATAAAGCTAAACAATATGTTTATAACTTAGCCAACTGTCAATTGACAGACGAACAATACATAGTTCTAGGTAGGGGTTTAAAATTTATACCTATGCCTAAGAAGTGTAATATACGCAGAACTGTAATGGCAGACTTCAATGAATTTGCCAGAAAACTTAGATGTCGTTTTCATTTTGGCAATACAGAAAGTCGGGGAATGCATCCATTCCGACAGAAATCATTTTATGAACCAACACCTGCTTGCTTTGAACTTGAAAATTATCTAGATCTAAAAAAGTTTGAATTATCTAATCTTGATTTACGAAATAACTACTACAATTTCACTAAAGAACAACAGCTAAGATTGCGATCTTTGAGAAACATGCATGGTATTTATTATTTTCTCTAAGAGCGACAAGGGAGGCGCAATTGTAATATCTAAAAAGACACACTACATTAAAGAAGGGTTAAGGCAGTTAAACTCTATCCATTACACGGAGATAAAAGAACCTAATCTATTACTGATTAAAAATAATATACAAACACAAATCAGCAGGATGTTTGACAATGGTGAGATTGATGGGATAACTCTTGATTTTCTCCGTGGCTCATCGAAAGAGGGACCAAGATTGGGTCGTCTTTTTCTCCTTCCTAAACTTCACAAATTAAGTGAACTTATTATTCAAGGGATAAAAAAACAAACGATGGCAGTTAATGAATTGCCCCCATGCAGACCAATTATTTCTCAATGTAACTCTGTCACCGAAAGGGTTAGCAAATTTATTGATTACTTTTTGATACCTATAGTTAAAAGACAGACCAGTTACATAAGAGATAGTGGGGATTTCATAAATAAAATAGAAAGTTTAAGGCCTGATCGGGATAGCCTTTTAATCTCTTTTAACTGCACCAACATGTATACAAACATGGAGTTCAATGAACTCATTCAATCTGTTGGACGAGCTTATAGCAGTGCAGTAAAAGAAGATTATCCGATAAAATGACCTAGCTGTGAAACAATTAAATCGTTAGTAGCAACAGTGTTGAAAAACAATTATTTTGAATTTAATGACCGATACTTCGTACAGAAAATAGGCGCTAGTATGGGAAGTAAATGCAGCCCAGAAATTTGTGATATTAGAGCATTCGAAGTTATCAACGAAATAATTGAAAAATATAAGTATAAAAATAAGATCTTATTTTACGGTAGGTATAGAGATGATGCGTTTATAATAGCTCATTCATCACGAGAAGAGGTTGAGGAGTTTTTTAAAATAGCAAATGATCATCCCCCTTTATTAAAGTTTACTTATGAAATTTCAAACGAAGAAATTATTTTTCTCGATACAGTCGTACATAAAGGGTTGAGGTTCAGGAACACCGGTATCCTTGATATAAAGAGCTACATCAAACCTACTAATACATTTCAATATTTAGATAGGACGTCTATGCATAACCCAACAGTCTTCTCTCGATTTATAAAAGGGGAAGCTATTCGCCACCACCGAAACAACAGCAACACGCAGAATTTAAAAGATACAATTTGTAAATTCAAAGGCCATCTTAAGCAAAGGGGATATAAGGAGCATGAAATACATCGTAACTGTGAATCGGCTCTCAATATCGAACGATCAGAGTTACTCCGCTTTAAACAAGAATCTGACAAGCAGATACCACTAGTATTTGTAACTAAATATCACTTTTCGTTGGGAAATATAAATAAAGCTTTGCGAAAACATTATAAAAAACTACTTCGCAATGCGAAATGTAGGGATCTATTTCCAAAACCACCAATGGTGGCGTATAGTAGACATCGGAACTTAAAAGAAATACTGACTAGCTCGATAGTCAAAGCTTAGTACAACATGAAGGATTGGGTCAGGACCCATGATGAAGCACCCACCCTTCATATGAGCCACGGAATATTGTAGAGTTTGTCCTATTCTGTACTGCAGAAACACGATGTGTTGGGTCCTGGAGAATAAGCAAACGTGGCTGTTAGGTACTTTCAGACATTCAACAAAACACTTCATTTCCCCCGAAATCTACCATAAAAGCATGAAAAAATGTTTTAAAGAAAAAATGACGTTGAACAAATAAACACAATATGGAACAATAAGTGTAAGAAAAAATGTAAAAAGTAATAAACTTTTAGGAGGTACTAACCTTGGTCAACCAACCATGACAAATTATTGCATATTTTCGCTGAAAACAATCCAAAAAGTACTTTTGTTTATTATAGCATAGTAACGAAAGTATTTTTATTTATTCACATGAATTATTAAAGTCATCAGTAAATACAATACTTAAATAATTTGATGCGTCAAAAGCTCAATTCTGGATTTACTGTCATAAAGAATGTCAGAATCCTAACATCGATTAGCACAGATGTAAAAGACCTCGCACAGGAAGAGTTACCCGACCAGAAGAAACATAAAAACAACCAAATTCATTGAAGGTAAATTTTGCTTAAAGACAATAAAGAAGCACTGACTATTGAGCTGATGATACCCTCGAAGACTAATAGTCAACCAGCATAGTAATGCTAGTGAATGAAACAAAATACAACAACACAGACACAACCTTTTAGATAAGTTATTATAAACGAAACGCTTTTCTTGATTGATCTCCATCAGGAATAGTCAAACCCAAACATTAGAAAGGATTGGATATATGCGCAGAACGCACAAGAATCGCTAAATGACTAAAGGGAAAGCAAAAGTAGACAAATTCAACTAAGGTCAACCAAACCCCAGGAATTCGAATGTTAGTTTAATGATAGATATATATATAGTTTTTGTGTCAGAATTTATAAATAATTAACGTAGAACTTACGAAATGTGTATTATAAAAATGATTAATCATTAAGGTACTGAAGTCCTAACTGTCGAGCTGTAGATGCCCTCAGAGACTAACAACTCCACAAGCAATGTTATCGACTTAGTATCAGTTATTTATGTTATTGAGAAAAAGGCTCAAATAATTTCGTGCTCCCAAAGCTCTTTTCGTGATTTATCTATATCATTAACGCTCGAACCCAAGCATTTGAAAGCCAAGGATGTGTAAGTCCAGAACACACCAAGAGCCAATAGAAACTGAATTTTAGTTTCAAACAGTCGTTTGGATCGTAACATAATCTAAAAAGTCTTCACAATAAATGCATCGGTCATTAATTGTCTTTCATTAAATTTTCAGACTTATCCTCTGCGGGATATTCAATACTCTTAAACAAGTCAGTATGATTATGATGTGAACAGGTAAATATCGACTATTTAAAAGTATGAACATAGGCTAAATTGACATTTTTTTATTCGAGCGTCACTGATGAGTCTTTTGTAGACGAAACGCGAGTCTGGCG